AAGTCCTAATTCCACATTCATCAGAGCCAGTTATGCTTTAAATATTTATAAACAGCATCTAGAGCATGTAGTGCTTATAAGATTTGTATTAATGTAGCAAGAAATGCTGTTCTCTTTTAACAAAATGAGCCCTGAAGCTCACATTAAGCATAAAAAAGAGCATGCATATTTTTTGCAAAGGACCAATGAAACTGAAGAATAGTGTCCCTACCAAAGTTGAAATCAAACCTACGCCCTTGACAGAGCCCAACAGCTGTGAAAAGATATGTAGCTGGATTATCACTTTTCTTTTAACTCTGAATCTTAAATATATATATAAGTGGTATTTACCTTCTCTGGCAGAAAGTGGGTTGCAGAATGCCAAATTTTAATACATTAATACATGCCAAAAACATATATGGCAAGGTGAGCAATTAATTATATATCACAACTCAGTACAAAGACAACTAAAAGTACCTTACACGAATTAAACAATAAAACAGGAGTCAAGTAAAACCATAATAATAAAAAAAAAAATGTAAAGATAAAAACATGACGTAGCCGATGTCTTGGATAGATTTTTTATTAGGCTTTGTTTCACAATCATTTCCAGATTTTTCCACCACACTTTTTCCTTCCATTCAACATTTTTTAACATACAGCAATTATTTTCATTTCTGTATTATATTAAGTTGCTTTCCTTATAATGTAATATTGTAATTGACTTTCAGCTTTTGAATTTTAATCAGGAAATAAATGACCTTTTTGATTATATTCTGGTTTATGAAGATGTGACTGCACATGCCTTGTGATGAACTTTGTGTGACATTTGGGCATAGGAGTATGTGTCAGGTAGGGGCATGTGCTGTTTAACAATCCATCTCACCGGCTGGATATCTTTTTGCCACGCAAAAATGTATGTACATTCTACTTGGCATGTCTTAGGTAAAAAATATTACATTCCAGATGAATTCTTTGGATTTCAATATTGTGCACTGTGATATATATTCCACAGACCTGCTGAAGAGCATCCACTGTATATCCACTCTATAATTGTTTCGGTTCCTGTGTGAGGTCTTTTCCGACATTTTTATATAGGCATATATAAATATATAGGTATATTAAACCAAGTTTTTCTGAAACCTGGTTTAATATCTTCCAGTCTTCCTTGACAAATTTACATCAATTTCTGCCTGTTTCAAAAGACTCTTTCACCACAAAAACGTTTTACTGTCATTTCTCAATAATCATTATGATCCTGGATTAAACCTCTCAGAAAATCATTAAAACACATTGAAACAGAAAGATAAAATTTCATTCTAATTACTTTTTTGATATTACCATCAGCTTGCCCATTATATTGCCCATCAGCTCTGCTCCATTTAGGAGGATTTTTGAATTAGTTTTTGAGAAGACACATGCAGGACGATTTTAATTGCAGTGATTCAATAAATGTAATTATTGCTCCATCCTCAAAGCAAAGAAGTAAGTAACTGATCACCATGGAAAACACACCGCCCACATACAGACACTCACACATTAAGAACAGAGGAATAACAGGGAATCTGGTTTATTTGTGGATTTGCAGTGTGAACAAAATAAGTCTCACTTCAAAAGAAAACCTGATATTTTTACTTGGTGAAAGCCACGTCTGTAAACAAGTGAGTGTTTTCAAGTCAGAAGGTGTGGTGCTGCAAAACATAATCAAATGTGAGTGAAATCCCCAAACCTTGTTCTTATTCGTACTCAGGTCAGCATAGTGATATGATGCAAACAAACAAGCAGCCGTCATGTTTTCTACCTTTAAATATGTGCAAAGAGATGCACCAGTGAAGGCATGAAGGACCTGTCAGATCTCTCTAGGCCTGTCGGCTCTTTAATGCTGTAAAATGTAGTTGCAAAAAGCTTTTTGTGGTGTGGAAAGCTGCTATATTTCCTGAGACAGATTGGAGATGTGATAACTTACAATATTTTTGTTATCAAAAGTAAACTGTGAAATACTCATCCCACAAAGTGAAGCAAACATTTTCTTTTTTTAAACAAAATAGGAGATAGAAATGAAAAAGTATTCAAACTGAATGCACAGTTTAATATTTAGACTATTACATAAGGTTTTCACATAATGAACCCTATATAGAATCTTTCATGGTGTGTAATGCATTTCCAGCTCCGCCTGAAAAGCTGTTTTACCCTTGTTACTTTAATACTTGTTCTTTCCAATAATCACCTTACACCAAATTCCCCTTTTGTGCTTTAATTTCCCTCTGAATAACTGAAGAAAAGTACTTTTTTCAAGCTTCTTCGCTGAAAGTCCATTTTTACTAATGTTTGTCGTTTGATGTGCTTTATGTGCCTCCATTAGTGCTTTCATGCTGCCACATCAACAGATATCTTGCCCTGCAGTCCAACCATTATAAGTAGGATAAAGGTCTAAATGTCCTTTTCTACAGTTTCCACTGTTCATGTGTCAGTTAAAAATGGCCTTCTCCTTTTTATGCTTTGTTGTCAAAGCGTCGTTCTACTCCTTCTCAATACTCACCCTCTGATTCACCTCTTGACCCCTGCAGCGTTGTTTTTCAGCTGAAGTCATTTTAGAAAAGAGAGCAAGTAAAAGACAGCTGAAGAGCTCACTTAGCTCGCTGGGGAGCCATTAACCACCTCGGTTATGGCTACTTTTATGAGCTGCCAACTACGAGCCTAAATGAAATGTAAACACTGGAGGGGAAATGTGCCAAAGAGCTGCTGCTGACTGAGCTTAAAGTTTGTGAACTGTATCAGAAGAAACTGTAAAAAAGAAATAATCTCTATTTATATTTTAGTGTATTGTTTATCTTCATAACAGTTATTTCTTTCTATATTTTAATATTTATATTAACATAGTTGTTAATTTGATGGCATTAACAGATCTGTTTCTGTGAATGTTACTTAGAAAAGAAGATCTAAACACATGTCCTCTTTGATTATGGGTAGAAACGAACTACTATTCTCTGAATTATTTGGAAAGAGTTTATTTTTTTGATCGTATTATAAAAAAAAACATTATATATTATAGGGAAGATAAAGTTAGACTTAAGCCAAAACTTGATTTCAGCAGATGTGACATTTATCCTGCACAATCCATCTGAAGGCAACAAAAGTGAAGGGTTGCATTTTTGTTTACAACGTAAAACATTTTAGGTCAATCTTTGTTTTTTTTTTCTCAAAAACATGATGTATTTCTTCTCAATCCTTTCTAGACAGATGAATAATAGTGAGGATTGCTGTGACATGTAAAAGACAACTAGTACTAGGTAGAACGTCCTGGAGCTCCTTTAAGCCCTCTTTATACACCTCCTGTTTCTAAGAAATCTGACTTGAAAAATGTTCGTTTGACTTTCATACCTCTGCTTGAGACAAATGGTGTCTAATACTCAAAGAAAGTTTTTCTTTTTTTTTCTTTTTAACAATACCTTGGCACGGCAAGATCCTTTTGTGAGCTTGCAGCAAATTCTGATTGCATTTAAGGGATGGAAATAAGCAAATGTCAGGTAACTCTAAGGAAGGCACCAGAAATGTACTTTAGAATTTTACATTTACTTTAACAGAGGAGAGGAGTGATATGATGCAGCCCGAGAGTTTAAGGGGAATGAAAAAAATTATAATTTAAGAAGGAATGTCACAAGGTTTTGAAATAATTAATCAAGATCTCCTTTTTCTCTATCAGAGTAACCTGCCAATTGCTCATGCTGGACTCTTTTATTTGTGCCATCTGCAGACAGTTTCTCATATGGCGTGTTTGTGATTTCAGCATCTAGAACC